CCACCAGAGGGTCAGCTATGAGTCGATTCCTACTCTACAGTATATAACAACAACAACAGAATCCTTAGTCCTGTTATCAATTTTAATCATTACATTTTGTCTGACATACTTTGGACATGTGATACGGTGGGATAAGTCCTTGGAGAGGGATGTCATGCTTGGGAGGGCGGAGGGACAGCGCAGGAGAGGAAGACCTTCTATGAGGTGGATTGACTCAGTGACTGAGGAAATGGGGATAGGCGTGTTAGAGACAGTCAGATTGGCACAGGATAGAGCAGGGTTTAGGGCTGCTGTACATAGGGTCGCTATGAGTCGCAGGTGACTCAACAGCACATAACAACAAATTTTAAAAGAAGCAAAAGGTATTATCTTTCTAGTGCAGAGCAGGCTTGCGAATTCCAGCAGCTGATCTTTCGGTTAGATGCCAAGGGTTTAACCACTGGGACAGCAAGGTTCCTTAACCAAAAGCTGGGTATCTTATGTGGTTGCTTACAAAAGCATAGTTAGTTGGTCTGGATGAACCTGGGCAGGAAGAACTCAAAACTCGAACTAGACATTTGGATTCCTCAAAGATAGGAAGCCTTGAAAACCATGACACAGGACAACTTGGCCCCTACAGTCAAAATCAGCTTTAGGGCAGTGGGTTTTATTTGAGGTTTATTTTTTGGTAGGCTGTTTTGAGTTTTTAAAAATGAAACTCATCTGATTATAGTTGTACTAAAGACAGAATACAGATCAATGTAAATAAGAGATATTAATCAAAACAACTATGAGATACCATCTTACTCCAGCAACAAAGCAAAGTTCAACTGAGTAGCATATGCTGGCGAGATTGTGGAGAGATTGGAACTCTTATTCACTGCTGGTGGGAATGTAAAATGCTACAGCCACTATGGAAGGTGGTCTGGTGCTTTCTCATAAAGTTGGAACAAGAAATACCATTTGACCCAGAAACTTCACTACTAGGAATATACCCCAAAGAAACCAGAGCTGCCTCCCAACAGATAGATGCACACCCATGTTTATTGCTGCATTATTCACAATAGCAAAGAGATGGAAGTATACGACAGGGGTGACCCTGGAGGACATTATCCTGAGTGAAATACCTCAGTCACAAGACGATAAACACTGCATAATGCCACTGTTGTAAAACAGGACAAAGGAGCACTGGCTAGAGAATGGGGAAAGAGTGGATAGAAAATAAACACTGCATTAGATCAGATGAGGGGAAGAATTGTCCAAAAGGAATGTATGATTAGGCATTATATGTACGACAACAATCTGGAAAAAGAGGTGCATTGTCAGGTGGTCTAGAGGAGAGGAAGGGGGTAAGAAAACGTGCAGCAATACAAAAAAAATTTATTTATACACACACACACAACTCTAGAACAAAATTTACCTGGATTTTGTGATGGGCAGACAGGGGCCAAGGAGGTTCTGGTTGTGTAGTCCCTACCATACTGAGTTGAGCTTGTAATACAAAGGTCTTTCCTTGATGGAGGTTCAAATCCACTAGTGGCTCCATGGGGCTTTCTCCTCCTGCACAATCTGCTAGACGATCAGCTGTCAGTCAGTTCCAACTGGACAGCAAGGAGTTTCCGCTTCTTTGAGACAGTGCCAAGAGATTTGAGTTGTGATCACGGTCTCCGCACTCTTAACTAGGGCCTCTGTGAAACACAGTGTAATAACCTGAGGCCCCTCCCTGGATCACGAAAATCAGAATCTCCTGGCCTAGGGCTCACACATCTATAATTTTGTGAAAACTTGCCAGGTGATTGCTATACACGAAGAATTCCACACTGCTCCTCCACGTGTGATCCTCCAGTCATCAGCACTGGCATCTAGAGGGATCTTGCTAGCATTTATTGCATAGTCTTTGGCCCCATTCTCCACCTACTTGGATTCTCCCTTTTAACCGAGCTCCTGGTAATTAGCCTGGGCATTAGAGTTTGGAAGTGAAACAACTGGCTCATTTGGAAGGCAACTGGCTCGAAGTGGTTGTTTTTTGTGCGTGGTTTGTTTGGTTGGTTTTGGGGTTTGTGTTTTGTTTTTTTTTTAGTGTGCTCTTTTTAAGAGGAGGGAAACCCTGGGGTTGGCTCCAGTCTACTCCCTCTCTTCCCCAGCCTCTTCCTCTGCCTTTGCTGCAGGCTAAAGCTCAAGCACCGCAGGCTAGACACTCTGAAATAAAATCCAGAGAGTGCTAAGAGACTGGTAACTGGCTTCTGGAAAAGCCCAGAAACTTCATGCTGGGTAGAGGGGCGGGGATTGGGGTAAACAAAAGACCAAAAAGAAAAGCCTCCAACTCAACAATTTGCCCTTTTCCAGGAAAATTATTTTGGTTGACCAAAGACTGTTATTCCATTATAAAACTAAACTAACTCCTTGCCCTCTCAGTTGGAACAGACTCATAGCTGACTTCTAGGTTTTCAGAGACTATAAATCAAATGAGAAGAGAGTGTTCACCTTTCTCCCTTGGAGCAGCTCGTGGATTTTAACTGCCTTCCTCTAGGTTGGCAGCACAACTGCTTATCCACTAGGCCACATTAGTCAGACTCTTAAAGTTTGTCCAAATAAACCAGGGTCATTAAAAAGAGCTCTCCCCATCAACAAACGAATGGCTAGAGAAGCTTTTGTATATTCACACAATGGAATACTATGCTGCATTGAAAAACAAGGAACTCATGAACTATTATACAAAATGGGTGACCCTGGATGACATTAAGCTGAGTGAAATATCTCAGTCACAAAAGGACAAATACTGCACAGTGCCACTGTTGTAAAACCGGACTGACAGGTGGGTTCGGAGGAAACTAGAAAAAAAGGGGATAAATAATGTACAAGGCATTGAAATGGACAAGGGAGAGAAATGTATAAAAGGAATATAGGATTAGGTATTAATGTCATGACAAGAGTCCATTTAAGAGTCTATTTATGCTTTACTGACTATGAAAAAAGCATTTGCAGGTGTGGTCCATAACAAATTATGGCTTAACACTGAGAAGATGGGAATCTCAGAATACATAATTGTGCTTATACAAAATCTATACCTAGATCAAGAGGCTGCTGTACAAGCAGAGCAAGGGAACACCGTTGTTGTTGTTGTTGTTGTTACGTGCTGTTGAGTCGCCTGCAACTCATAGTGACACTATGTACAACAGCCTAAACCCTGGTCTACCCCTTGCCAATCTTATTGAATCCTTGCCTCCAAAGAGCAGCCTGTTTTCACTCTCTCCAGGACAAACTTGTTTGTTCTCCTACCAGTCCATGATATATTCAATACCCTTCTCCAACACCACAACTCTCCTTCTATCATCCTTAGTCATTGTCCAGCTCTCTGATGCACAGTATGTAACTGCAAAGATCATGGACTGGATCAGGCACACCTTAGTCTCCAGACTGAAATTGTTGCTCTTCAGGGCTCTGGAGAGGTCTCTAATAGCAGACTTTCTCAATGCAATTAGTCTTTTAATTTCTTGGCCGGCTACTGGTACCAAGAGTGTTGACTGTAGAGCCAAGCAAACTGAAGCTGTCAGCAATTTCAGTCTCTTCACCATTTATCATGATGCTGCCAATCAGTCCAGTGGTGAGAATCTGTTTTCCTGAGGTTGAGCTTCAATCCATATTGAAGGCTGCAGTCCTTGGGAACACTATCGGATTTAAAATCAGAAAAGGTGTGAATCAGGGTTGTATCCTCTCTCCATACCTGAATAATCTGTATGGTGAGCAAATAATTTGAGAACCTGAACTCTATGAAGAAGAATGTAGCATCAGGATTGGAGGAAGACTCATGAACAACTTGCATTATGCAGATGACAACCTTGCTTGCTGAAAGTGAAGAGGACTTGAAGCACTTGTTGCAGAAGATCAAAGTGTATATAGCCTTCAATATGGATTACATCTCAACATCAATAAAACAAAAATTCTCACCACTGGACCAACTGGCAACATCATGATAGATGGAGAGAAGACAAACTGTCAATGAATTTAACTTACTTGGACTCACAATCAGTACACTTGCTACTAGCAGTCAGGAAACCAGGATACATATAGTGCTGGGAAAGTCTACAGTCAGGGACCTCTCAGAGCATTAAAGAGCAATGATGCTAGTTAAAGACTAAGGTCTGTCTGACTCAGGCCATGGTCTTTCTAATCACTGAGAGCTGAACAATGAATAAGGCTGATAGAAGGATTGATGCCTTTGAGTTGTAGTGCTGGAGAAGAGTACTGAATATTCCATAGATGGCCAAAAGAACAAATAGGTAAGTCTTAAATAGAGAGCAAACTAAGTGCTCTTTGGAGGCAAAGATGACAAATCTTCACTTCACATACTTTGGGCATGTTAAGAGAGTCTTCCTTGGAAGGGACATCGTGCTTACAAAGGTGGAGGAGGGTTGGCAAAAGAGAGGAAGATCTGCAACCGGATGGATTGGTGTAGTGGCCACTATAATAGCCTTGAGTATGTCAGAGATGCTGAGGAGGATGGTACAGGTTAGCACAGGGTTCAGATCAGTTCTTCCTAAGGATGCTACGAGTGAAGGTACCTAACAATAACAACATAATGACAACAGTAGTCACATGGCTAATATTTGCTGCTGGCTCTCTTCTAAACATTCAATTGAGCATTTTTGCATCCTTCTTTGTTAGGATGCTAAGGGAGAGTGTATAGTCACTGTTTGGGTTTCTTAGTGCTGCTTTAACAAAAACACAAGTGGGTGATTTTAAAGAAGAGACATTTGTTTTCTCATAGTTTAGGAGATAGAAGTGCAAATTCAGGGCACCACTTCTAGAGAAGGCTCTGTTTTTGTTGGCTCTGGGGAAGAGACTTGTCTCAGCTCCTTTTACCTCAGCGATCTCCACGTGGCATCTCTCTCACCCTCCCCTAACTGTACTCAATCTCCCTGTCTCTAATCTGTTATTTTTCCATCTCAAAATATAATAGGTAGGCTTTGCAGATGCTGCCACCTCAGTAGCACTCTTGTGTGCTCTGCTCACGTCCAGCCATGGTCATTCCCATCGCTGATGGCAAACCTCTAGGCCGCGTCTCCTTCGAGCTGTTTGCAGCTCAAGTCCCAAAGACCACAGAAAACTTCCGTGCTCTGAGTACTGGGAAGAACGGATTTGGTTACAAGGGTTCCTGCTTTCACAGAATCATCCCTGGGTTTATGTGCCAGGGTGGTGACTTCACATGCCATAATGGTATTGGAGGCAAATCCATCTACAGGAAGAAGTTTGATGCTGAGAACTTCATCCTGAAGCACACAGGTCCTGGCATCCTGTCCAAGGCAAATGCTGGACTCAATACAAACAGTTCCCAGGTTTTTATTTGTACTGCTAAGAATGACTGGTTGGATGGCAAGCATGTAGTCTTTGACAAGGTGAAGGAAGACATGAGCGTTGTGGAAGTCACGGAGCACTTCGGGTCCAGGGATGGCAAGACCAGCAAGAAGCTCACCGCTGCTGACTATGGACAACTCTACGTGATCTGTAGTTCATGTTTTCTCTAACTCACCAGACCATTCCTTCTACAGCTCCAGAGATCACCCTGCTACCCCCATTCTGCTTGCTATAGTTCTTTGGGTTCCAGGGTTTCTTTCTTCCCCTCCAAGTTTAGCAGGATTGCACAGTTAACTTTATCATTATGAAATAAAAACTAGACAACAACAAACACCCTACACTCCTATGCCTTCATTAACATAGCAAATAAAATTCTGTTCCCAAATGTGATCACATCTACTGTGATTGTCATTGTAAAGTACCATGGAGTCAGACCCAACTTATAAAGGACAACAGAACGAAACTCTGCACCATCCTTACAATCTGTTCTGGTTAAGCTTATTGCTGCAGTTACTGTGCAAATCCATCACCTTCAGGGTCTGTCTCTCTCTCTCTCTCTTATCGACACTCTACATAACATGATGGATGTCCTTCTCCAGATACTCATCTCTTGACAACATGCCCAAGGTATGGGCTTATGTCATATCATCCTTGATTCCAAGGAGCATGCTGGTTGCTCCTCCTTAAAGATAAATTTGTTCGTAGCTTTGCCGGTCCATGGTATATTCAATATTTTTGCCAGCACTGCAATTTAAAGGCGTCGATTTTTCTTCAGTCTTAGAGATTAACGTTCCCAAGTGTACTTGGGGAATGCACAATTCAATCTATAACACTGATTATTTCCATTTTGGGGGTGAAAAAATGAAGGCTCAGATGAATTAAGTTGGATCCCCGAGGACACACATCCAGGAAGAGGTGTAGCCAAGATTTTAACTTGTGATTTCTTACTCCAGAAGTCTTTGTATTTCACAGAGAGTGTCTAAAATACTCTTGTATCCATAATAGTGTCTTGCGCATAGTGTACATTTCTGATAAAGTAACTAAAAATCCAACTAAAAATGGAATAAATTTGTGTTTCTGTTTAGAAACTCTTCTCTTTACCCAGAGTCCCTTTCTCCCCTCTCACTAAAGATGCATGAGGTTACACAATGGTTGTATCACTCCAAGATACTGTACGAGTTGGGAGCAAGTATGGGCATGAATCTTGACTCTACCGCAAAGTACTGGCACTGGAAATGTATTGCCCTTTTCCCAGGGGTTAATTTTTTAACTCCATTGCCAAATTCACATAGGCAGCTATCTAAAAGACCCTTGTGAACAACAATCATTCACTAGAGCAATTGAGGAAGTTAACATGAACTTTAACAATTTTTTTACAGATGGAAGATCAGATAAGCTGAGCAAACCCAAGGTCACAAAGCCAAATCCTTGGGAGAATGCAGAAGAGAGAATGCAAACTCATAGTTTTTATTACTGGACAATCTCCCATCATATTCTTTCCATTCAATGCCTCCTTTCTTAATGACAAGCAATGCCTAAAAGACAGCTGCTTAAAAATGGGATAAAGAGAGAAACACTTCTGAAAATAAGAATGTTTCAAACCTGTCTCACAGTGGCAATTTCCTTGATTTAAAAAGCATGTGATTGTTGTGTTTTTGTGCAGGTGACCATATTCAGCAAGAGGTAATTACCGAGTAATTGTCACACACCTGGCGTAGGTCGCATACTCTTACATTAAAACAAAGCTGTGGGGATCCAAAGCCCATCTGTGATCATGTACCGGAGAACGGTTGAAGTTGGCAATCAAACAATTTTGTCTAGCTGTCCTTCTGGAAAAACTAAGGACTTCCAGGTTTCTTTCCAGTGAAGGAGCTTGAATGTATGCAGGTGTTCTGCATGACCTGAATTGCCATTGTTGTCTAATTCAATGTTATGTCAGGAATAGGCTGGTGATGAGCCAAATGAACAATGTGATCATTCCACTTCCCAGCACCCATCACAGAAACATTTGGATTCTATCCCAACAGGAAGCCTAAACCGATCATCTGATCAATGGCCATCTTGAGGATGGCCACAGCTACCCGTCACGCAAAGAATCACAGAGCGAGTCTGCGCTTGGAATAAAGCCTGGAGCCCAGGTCCACGGGGAGTCACGCTGCTCACCTAAAGCCTTAGCCTCTTAGGCAATTCACATCCACCAGGGACTCCTCAGGAGAAAGATGGCAATCTCCTCCCATGCAACTGACAGCCTCAGGAAACCCATGGAGAATAAGCAACGAGTCAGTCATGACTCAACAGTGATGAGATCAAGGGAATAAGAGATGAACAGCTAAAGATGTGAGATGGCAAAGGCATCAGAAGCTTCTTGATCAGAGGGGGTGAATCTGTGAGCCATGCACTCACTATCACAAATACTTGATGTTGTTAAGAACTGTCGCGTTGAAACGGGCTCAGAGTTGACCCCCAGTGGGTTTCCAGAGGGAAGAAACTGCACAGGTGATGACCCATCTTTCTCTCACAAAGCAACTGGAAGATTTGAACTGTGTGTCTTTTGGGTTGGCTGCACAATTCCTTATTACAAAGCCACCAAAGCTCCCTATCGTGGAAACAGCTAGCTAATGAATCTACAAGTGAGTGAGTGGAGCTGTGCTCCAATAAAACTTTATTGGCAAAAAGGTGACAGTCAGATTTGTACACAGGCCAGCATTTGCCCAACAATGAACCGTAGGAAGAGGCTTACAGGTGTGACTTTTACCCTGCATCTGAACTTTAAAACTTTCCTTCTCAACACATAAAAATGTGGGTATTTTCAAAATATTATGATTTTACAACTACGTAAATGTGAACAAATGGAAAACATCACGTAACCAGCACCGAGCTTTTGTAAAGCCGTCCACAGCACCCCAGCAGCCCTCTCATGGCTCCTAGCAGTCTCTAGCCCCTTCCAGGGGAAACCACTAGCCTGACATCTAAGAGCGTAAATTCGTCTTGACTGTTTCTTGGTTCATATAAATCAAATCACACAACATCCACTCTGTTAGGTCCGACTTCCGCTCCACCTTGTGCTTGTGAGGCACATCCCTGTTGCGGTGACAGCCCATTCACTTCGGCTCTTGTACAGTGTTCCATTGTGTGGCTGCTCCACAATGCATTTATCCTTCTTTTCTATAGAGGATATTTCGGTAATGTCTAGCTTTTGGTCTTATTAATAGTACTACTATTAGAAGTCTAGCGCAAGCCTGTCAGGAAATCTGTGAACCAATACATGCTAGGGATCTACCTAGGAGTGGAGTGGAATCTTTGGGTTGGCTGTAATTGTTATGTTTGTTATTAAGTGCTTGCTGAAACTTAGGAGAACTTGAAGCGCTTGCTGCAGAAGGTCAAGGGCTGCAGCCTTCAATATGGACTGAAGCTCAACATCAAGAAAACAAAGATTCTCACCACTGGGCCGATTGGCACCATCAGTATGGATGATGAAGAGATTGAGATAGTTAACAGTTTTAATTTACTTGGCTCCACAGTCAACACTCTTGATAACGGCAGCCAGGAAATCAGGAGATGAATTGCATTGGCAAAGTCAGCTGTGAGGGACCTTTCAAGAGTACTGAGGAGCAACAATGTCAGTCTGGAGAGTAAGATGCGCCTGATACAGGCCATGGTCTTTGGAATTACTTGCTATGCATCAGAAAGCTGGACAATGACTAGGGAATTGATGCCTCTTAGTTGTGGTGCTGGAAGTGTATTGACTACACCATGGACTGCCAGGAGAACAAACTGGTTCATCCTGGAGAGGGTGAAGCCAAGCTGCTCCTTGTAGGCAAGGATTCTGAAGCTTCGTCTGACATACTTTGGGCATGTTGCAAGGAGGGACCAGTCCTTAGATAGGAATGTCATGTTTGGGAGGGTGGAGGGATAGCACAAGAGAGGAAGACCCTGGATGAGCAGAATTGACTCACTGACTGGGATAATGGGGGTCGGTGTGTCAGAGACAATAAGGTTGGCTCAGGATAGAGTAGGGTTCAGGGCTGTTGTACATAGGGTCGCTATGAGTCACAAGTGACTTGATAGCACATAACAACAGCAACGTAACAAGGTGCAGTTGAGTCAGCTTTGACTCGTAACAATCCTATGTACAACCAAGTGAAACCCTGCTTGGTCTTGCACCTCCTTCCATTGTCTGCTCCGTCTGAGCCCATGGTCGTCATCACAGTGTCAACACGCTGAGGGTCCTTCTTCCACTGACTCTCTACTGTTCCGAACATGATGTCCTTCTCTGGGGCCTGGCCCCACATGGTAACATGCCCGACTTATGTGAGATGAAGTCTCACCATCTGGCTTCTAAAGAGCACTCTGGCTGTATTTCTTGTAAGGTAAACTTGTTTGTTCTTCTGGCAGTCCACGGCAGAGTCAATATTCTTCATCTACACCACCATTCAAAAGCATCAATTCCTCTTCAGTCTTCTTTACTTCTTGTGTGAACTGAGTAGATACCTAAGAACCACTTTCCAAAGTAATGTACCGACTTGGGCTCCTATATATGCATGGGCATTCTAGCTTCTCCTCACCATCGCCTGGTGCCATTTCCATCTTTTTTAGAACAGTAATTTTGGTGGGTGTGGTAGGTAGTCATTGTATCATTTGTGTTTCCTTGATAATAACTGATGTGAGCACCTTTTGTATACCTCTGGGTCTTCAGGTATTCTTCCCTCAAGTCTTTTGTTCCTCTTTCAACCACTGTCTTGGCCAGCTTCCATTGGCTTGTTGCAAGTGTTGTTTTCTCCCCTGGATTCTGGTGATTGTGCTGTGTTACACATTACTCACTCTCAAGGCCATTCAAGCACAAGGTCAGCAGCTGAGGGCCAGTGTTCCCTTAGAGTCTGGGCCTTATGTGCCTCCTTCAGTCCCACCCTGTCTGCTCTTCCCAGGTGGCTGATTATACTCTGTGTCCATTTTATCTAGAGCTTCGCCCAAATATACATAATAACAATTCTGTACTAACAACGTTAGTTTAAACCAGCTAAAGTTACCCTTATTCCCCTAGCTATTTTATCTGGATCAGGACTTTCAAGGTTTTATATGCATTTCTCTGTGTGTGTGTGTGTGTGTGTGTGTGTGTGTGTGTAGCATGAGACTATACAACACACTTTTTATATCTAAGGAAAGTGGGGTT